TCATCACCCACCTTCTCCAACTCCTCATCACCCACCTTCTCCAACCCTTCATCACCCACCTTCTCCAACTCCTCATCACCCACCTTCTCCAACCCTTCATCACCCACCTTCTCCAACTCCTCATCACCCACCTTCTCCAACCCTTCATCACCCACCTTCTCCAACTCCTCATCACCCACCTTCTCCAACTCCTCATCACCCACCACCCTCTATTCTTCGTCACCCCCACCACCCCACTCTTCGTCACCCCCACCACCCCACTCTTCGTCACCGCCACCTAACAGCAGATTCACACCAGGGAGGTCTCTCGTCACCATGCGGCTGACGGCAGACGTCGGCGGAATACTCCTTTCATGAGATGCTGCGATTTGCAAAGGCAAATTGGCGATGGCGCGTGATCACCATCGGCAACTCCCAGGTGCCGCTAGCGTGCACGGTCTGAACAGTTCCACAAATGATCCAGCAAAGAGTTTTGATCAAATTATCATCCTGATTGCCAGCTTCTCGGGTAGTAATGAATCGGTGGGAGTGGGTCCTAGGGGGGATACGTTATCACATATAAGGTTCATCTCGTGGTTGACTACTGGTGGCAGTTCAATAGAAATACCGATGGAAATCTCAAGACTTCGCTAATATCAATAGACATCGGATATTCTTCACATAGACTTCTATAATGTAAGCCTTCACATAATTATACACGGACTTCGCAGGTGGAGTTATCGAATGATGACAGAAATGGAAGTATTGTTCAGATACAGAAAATTCGATCAACCTAAAATCGCTAAACAGCATCATTTCCATTTGGATAGTGGGAGGAGCTTTCATCTCAATAATTAGTGTTGGGTCAAGTTTATTTCATTTTGAATTAAAACCGCTCACGCACTGCTATAGCCACACCCGGATGAATTTTCACCTCACTGCCATTCTGTTTACTTTTTATTGTTCCAACTTTCTCACCAGCAAATCCACATCCACTGTTGTGACTATCATGGAGAATAGACATATTTACTAACTTCGCGTAAGGTCCCTCTGCCCTACGCACAATTCCTCCCCATCTATTACAGAGAAAGTTGTGGTAAGAGGCAAACATTCGCCTTCCTGCGCCTAACAATATCATTTAATCTTGCTAAAAGCACTTGCGAAGTAATGCTTTTGTCCAGCAGATAAGTCTAAAAGCGTCAGAGCGGCATATGGTCTACAGCCTCATTGAATATATGTCGTGCATATCCGCATGCTATAGTAAAACGCGAGGCAGGATGACACAGTATGACAGTACCTATCCATGCATCACACGCACCACACTTGAATCTAGCAGTAGCAGAATAGCTGTCTAAGTATTAGCACAGTAGTTTGTTCTCGGCTGTTTTCCCGCTGTGTATTCACTTCCTTTCCTATATCCAATTTGTTCATTTTGATAATGCTTCTACCTTACATTGCTTGGTCCCTGGCGGAGAGCTAATGACATTTTCCGTCTCCAAACGAACCAAAAGATAATCATAGGCCTTCGTATTAATCAGTTAAATAGGTCAATTGCTACATTGCATGGAAATTGAGCATGGAAGTTCATAATAAGATAATTGGACCTGTAAAAATGTTAATTGCAATAGCAGTTTGTAGTTCTGAAACAGTATTGTTGAGAAACTAACGTGAAGTATGTCTGTAGTTGATATGACATAATTGCCAACTTTGGTACACGCCTGCATTTACCATATCAGTTTAAGTAAAAACATAACGTTTTCACATAAAAAGCACATTTTTTATATAGAGTTTCTATAGAAATGCCATTCCTTGTGTACTTTACAGGAACATAACAGGGAAAAAAGGAAAAACAATTAAAGTAAACAAAGTTCTCACGTGGAACTTCCCATAGATGGGGGAGGAAAACCTCACCATTTGTGAAGATATCTTCCCCTTATTTAAAACAAATCCTCACTCCAGGAACACAGCCATCCTACCTAGCCGGACATAAATTAACCCCCCCCCCCCCCGCACACACCCTACACCCTGCACTCCCTGTAAAATGTGACTGAATGCTTACCCTAGCTCTTCATAAGCTCTGATGTCGCGGCTCGCAAACAGGGCAATCCTCGGGAAGCGCAGGTCCTGATGGTCGACGAACACCTTGATCGGAACAACGTTCGGCTCGCACAGGTGGTTGATGAAGCGGGCCACGTTGCCATAGTAACGCGCATCAATGCAGTACGTCTCGCCTTCCTGCAAAAGGTCATCAACGAGGTGGTAAGTACGAGCGCGCTGCAGCCATGCCAGCGCGAAGCCATCAACAACAGTTTCTTCCAGGTAATTAGGCGCCAATGCTAGCGACTTTGGCAGTAACCCAGGTGACCAGGTGATATACTGAAACAGCGGTGGTGGATGACCGAGTGCTACCAGTTAGGCAACGCATGCCTTAAAACTTTATTAGATGCATCACTCGTATGGAATATTACGTGACAAGACACTTCTCAGATAGTAAAGGTATTCTTGCAAAAACTGCCATGCCTAACGTGAAACAGCAAGGAAGGAACAAGGAAGCGCATGAACTTTGCGATTCTCACCTTGTTGTCAAGGTCGAACAAGTAGGAATCATCTTCTCTGGTGTCTGCCTCACTGTCAGTTATCACCTCACCGATGTATCTGTTAAGTAAAATGGAAACATGAGGAAATAGAGCACTCGGAGAGCACAGACCTCCGCCAAGGCAGCTGAATTCTCTCAATGTGAAATTTTTTATTAATTAATTATTTAAGTGGAAAAATTAATTAATTAATTAATTAATTAAATAATTTATTGGATCCGGATTAGTGCGAGCGTGCAGGTGGGGGAGGACTGTGGTTGCCCCTTAGCCTGTGGTTGCGTGTTTGTAAGTCTACAGCCAGCGCACCTAGCGGAAGTGAACTGAAACGTGCATGTTAACAAACCCACAAACCCACAAACACACAAACCAACACTCAAACACACGCCGGTGAAAACATAACCCCCGCCAAGCCCCTGGCGGAGGTAAAAAGCTATGATCACGTGCGAGCAGTCTGATTAACGAAGAGGACTGCACAGCAATCAAACCTGAGAAGCCACTTTTAGTTGAAATCTGAAATCGCAACGTCATACACAACACACAAACACAGAGACAGACACACGTACGCTTACACGCATGCATACGAGAGAGAGAGAGAAAGAAAGAGAGAGAGAGAGAGAGAGAGAGGGAGAAAGAGAGGGAGAAAGAGATAGAGAGAGAGAGGGAGAAAGAGAGAGAGGTTGAGAGAGAGACAGAGACAGGGACAAAGGCAGGGACAACGACAAAGGCAGAGGCAGAGAGAGTGCGTGCGCGTTCCTACCCCAAATGCCTTGTAGCTGTAACTGGCCGTCACTATCTGCCCGGCTATAATCAATTTCATTTGGAAAATGCTCAATCTATCCGTGCTGAAAAACACGTTAATCAGTGCAGACAGAACCTTATCTGCAGTATGTGCGAGGGTGTGACCAGCAGTTGCACCTCCGTACGGCAACGTTCAGTGTCTGTCATTGCAGTTCGGTACGGTAGGTGTATGGTGAAATTTCACCAATAGACAGCTTTAGCTTAGCTTAGATTAGCTTAGCAGCTGCAAACCACCCAGGAACGGCACACGTGCCACGTATTGGGTGTGTGGTAATACTTGGGATATGCACGTCTTCAAAATTGCCACTTATACTTGCAACGTCTTGGCACTACAAACACATTCATTATTACCTACATCTATGTGATATTCTAGTGTAAAATTCGAGTAAATAAACGGCTAGAACTCAAAATGTCAAGAACAGTCAAAGAAACCGTCTATTTAAACAACTAAACGTGCACGCGCAGAATTTTACATTAATTCCAGGTATTAATGCTTTAATCTAAATGCTCACACCACCCGCTTAAACGCGCCTCGGTTCGACAAGCAAGCGGTCTGATAATGCGCATAGGCTGTTACTGAGCTGTTTGAAGATACACTATGTTTAAAAGATAGAGCTACTCGGCTATACGGGCATGTATGTAATAATTTCATTCCATTTACGCAAAATAAGAAAGATTTTCCTTTTGCGTTTTACAGATGTTTGGTGGGGTAAAACAATAGACAAATTATCGTCATACTGCTCAGTTTTGTTTTCATCTTCAATTGCGACTCGCTATATAAACACGTATTTAGCAGTAAACGCTGCGCGTATAATAGTTAAATAGGCTAATTAATTCCCAAGCCCTCGAAACCCTGATAATAAACACAGATATATACTGCAGAATAATCTCGCCTTTCGCCCTCTCCCCGCTAAAGCACCTCTACCTTGCTGCCTGATAACTATGGCTCCCGTGTTAATGCGGTTTACGTGTACCTTGCATGAGAGACAAATGCAATAAAGATGTACGCAGGCTCACTGATGAGCGATTAGGTTGCCGGCGGAAACAGCCAGACGGAGAAGACGGCATCTCTCGCAGGAGCAGATCTAGAGAGGATGCTGCTGCGCCCGAACCCCGGCGCATAGCTGCCTAGTTGCTACGGCATATACAAAGACGGCCGCAATCCGCTTAGCCTTCCCTGGATCTTTTAAAAGGTTGCCAGCAGAGCAGCAGTGAGACGAACCAGCAACCATCAGACGCTGCTGACAGAATATACGTCATCGAAACAAACTCCACGGATGGACAAATTAATCCTCGCCGGGCTTGTGACGTACGACCAGCGATAGGCGTTTGGGAATTAAAAGCGATGAATGTCGGAGTTTGTTTGCTAGTTCAGGCATCCCCCATATATATATATATATATATATATATATATATATATATATATATATAT